ACGTGTCCATCCAAGAGTTAACAATGAATCATTACTCTATGAAAGAGACTTTGACATTCACCTAGAAAACATGACCCTAAAGTACCCCAGCATGCCAGATGTTTAAAGGCAATTTAGCCATATTAAAATCAAAGTTTTATAATTGTAAACTCAATAAAAATACATGATTGGACCAGTTTGTAGCATTTTTCAAATGTCAATTTACAGATTATAAGATCCTCTGTATAAAATGTGCAGTTTGGTTTGTTGTTTTGTTTTACCTGACTGCTAAGAAAGCATGTGTATGCTTATAAGTAAGCAACCAGGGGATTGACGGCTTTAAGCCTTCTCTGAGGGATTTGGCGATGAGGATTAATGCCTTACCAAAGGGCAAAAGCGCAACGGCTTGGTTTCGAACGCGGGAACTCCCAGTTATGAGACCACTGCTCTACCACCGAGCCACCACACCTCTTCATTTATTCTCTCATCATATTATGTGATAGTGACCTAGAAAATATGCCCCCAGCTCGCCAAACATACAGTGATATTTACAAGCAAATTGTTCACATCCTTCGTTGACACACCTCACCGAGTAAACCCTCATGAAATTCTATTGGGGTTATTTTTCTTTCTTTCTTACTTGAATGCTAATTCAACTATCCTACATGTATATGGAAATCAGAAGTCATTGATCACAAGGGACTACTTTCCCAAGTATCGCAACACAATTCAAAACATCCATAGACTTGTTCACACATTCCATGATACACCACCTAAAACTGTTACTGCAAAACAAATCACTTACTGGTATGCATAGAATGTGGATACGATTACCGTATGTATGGCGTGAAACCAATAACTTCCATTTTGTGTGAATGAGAGCTCTTTTTTGTGAATTGCAAATATCCTGTGTTGTGTCAGTTTTTATTCATTCATTTTAGGGCATTAAACTTTCACAAATCTGAACCAGTCAAAATAATTGTGAACATTTCATGCCCTTGACAATTTCTCCTTTTACAGTATAGCGCCAAGCGCTTATACGCTTAGAGGCCTTTGTTTTGTGCAGCTCCCGGTATTCTATTTTTGTCACCTCCACCGGCAATTCATTTAACACTGCAATATTTCAATTTTAAGCAATTTACCACAGTAAATGTGAACAGAGCTACAGTGCGTGTGAACACGACTTCATTCATGACTCTAGTCTAAGATGTGGCGGAAAAGGGACTGGTTGTTTTCCTGATGGTGTTGGTGAGATACTGCTTAGATTGTGAAGCCTAGAAGGCAGTACTAGATAAAGAAATGCTTTTGAAGACCAGTTTGGAACCAGAGGGCATTAACTCAAATACTTTAACATACTAACCCTTTGACTCTGAGCAGATGATACACAACACATTGAACCAGTCAGATATAGGCAGGGGATTGTGACAATAACAAAGAAAATGTGCACCTCCACCCAACTGTATATCATGTCTCCCTTTGAATATTTAGACTAAAAGGAACATACAAAAATTCAAAACAAAAAATCCCCTTTCTTTTCTACTTGTCAGCATTTTCTTCTTTTGGGAATTGTGATTCATTTTAATCTGCCCCTGAACAAAAGTAATGCATCACAGAGATCTTGTTTGTCATTTGGATACTGAAAATGTTCAAAAGGATCTTTACTTCAAATCCCAGGGTATTTGAGTATTGCCAAAAAAAACATAGGAGAAGCAAAACAGAATATAGGTCAGGCCCGTTGAATATTTTCCACATTTAATCTGCTTTTTACTTCAATTTTCAGATTAGAAAAACAAATTGAACATTTTGCTATTTGCATTAAAGTCAAAGAAATCAAACAAAATGTTAAACTGTGCATGGGCCTCAAAGTAAAACACATTGTGGTAAAAGAGAATAGTAACAACAAAAAACAACCTATCGGTCCAAATTTTCAGAAGACTATCAACCTATTTTTTCGAAGTAGTCTAAGAACCGAGTAAAATATGAAACTAAACCAGGAAACTCATGAAGACATCTACATTGCTATCTTTGCAAAAATATATGAACAATGCAATCAGGAGTGCTCACTGTTTTGCTAAGGAAGTTTAATCTTCTCATGTTTCATCAGCAAGTGCTTTCCAGAAAATTAAATCATAATACTTGAAAATGCATTTTCAGAGTTACAAGAAAAACAAAAGAAAGTTTATTGTCTTTGAGCATTGATTTGAGGGAAAACAACTGGATGGTGAGCCCTTTTAAAAACAATTTGGCATTATCCTCAGTACTGTTAAATCAGAAATGTTTGCAACCTGAAATTTTCTTGAAAATAAAAAATACTAATTGCAGAAAGTCCTTATCATGTCAGCTGTGATTAAATTATTTTGCAGAAACTGTGCACTCTTCATCAAATCTCTGATCAAAACAGCATCTGAAAAATCAGATAACCTTTTTTTTTTTTGCTTGTCAGAAGTTTCTTGTTGAAATTGTTAAGTTTTTATTGTTGTTTGAATTTTGCAGCTCAACAAAGTTATGTCCAACCTCAGAAGTCACCATTTTTCGATGAAACATTGTCAAGGGAGTTTAGGAATGGATCAAATATAGATTCAAATCCTTTCAGATAAGAGTGACACTATATATTATTAATTCTTGCTTTGTATTTTAAGAATCTATGGATTTATAGAATGAAGAATTTATCTTACCATGATTCTCTACTATGCATGTATATGATTTGTTTAGCAATTTATTATGGTAGGGATTATTTCTTAAACTTTCATGCCACTTTCTATAATAAACTGACTATATGGGCTAATTTAGATTTATATTCAAATATATGATTTTTTTGTTGTACTGAGTAAGGTGGGAAGATTCGCCAGCAATTCGTTGTTGTTGACGAGGCTGTTCATGATGACCATGGCCCCATGGTCTTTTTTGCCCCCCCCCCCCCCCCGCCATTTTTTTACAAAGATCTACATCTGCCCGAAACTTTCACAACCACAGAAGAAAGTTCACCGATCTTTCCAGGATCTCTCAAAATGTTGAACGTTAAGATAATACACAACCAATGGAAGTATGAACAATTCCGGAGTAGACTCTATTACCGATCCAACACCAGGTGAAGTAAGGTTAAACTAACATCTTGGACACTTTGTAGATTCCTGTTCATATTACATCAGTAATAGACACTATGAGGTAATCAAGACCTAGTGGAAACTTCCACTGCGTGTCCGCATGCCAAGGGAGCCATCATACCTTCATTTGAAAACTCTTAATCGCAGATGTCAATTTTTCCAAGCACTGGTTGAAAAATAGTCATTGTTTGTACAATTAGTCAATGTCAACAGAGTCTGCTCTGCATTTTGTTGAAGTAAAGGATAATACAGACTATGTGATCTACACGAAGACAACTTAAATAGCCTACTTTGCTCTGAAAATGGAACCTTTGTAAATTGTATTTTCTCATATGATAACCAAAAAAAAGCAGACCACCCCCCCCCCCCCCCCTCGCCGCCAAAATTTTTTTTTTTTTAAAAATGACACCTTGCTGAGTATAGGATATGATTTGATTTAAAACATGATATATTAAAATTAAGTTAATATTCATTCCAAAACTGAACCATACAGCTCAGCAGAGTTCATGTCATATATGATGTTGGTGTTTAGATAGGCTAACATATTCTATTATATAAAAAGCCACAGAATATCAAATTTGCAGAGAGGGTTTCAATGGTGACAAATAGATCACATGCAGGTTCACATCTTCTTCATGTTACAAATTATATAGTCAGCAATCCTTCCAAAATCTATATAAACATTAAATATATTTTCAGGAAAATCCAATCACTTTAACTGTATAATGCCAAAATGGTGTAAAATAACAAGTCAATTGTACAATTAATATGCACGCTATATACATGTATCTGCAAGCATCGACCTCACGATCCAAATGGAGCTTTGTTTTTCTTCCAAACCAAGGGGAATTAAAACAATAGAGCACAAGTATCATATTGTAGAGCTGGCCTACCCTGGATGACTTGCCTCTATGAATCATCGGGTTTCTGTACGTGATGAAACCGTGGTGTGAAGAAAATGTGTCAGTACACTACTTGTACAGCATTCATACAGGCTGTCATTTGAAGTTTAAAGGGAAATATCAGTGTCAGGAACGACTCTATGAAATTTCAGATAAATCTAATCATGTCGTTTTTCTTAAATAATGTAACTTACAGTGTACCTTGTCAAATATTGTGAGGTTAATATGAAAAATAAGCTAACGAAATAGAGGTATCATTAATTATTGTTGTCAGACTGTTGCTCAGTATTCCCATAACTGCTTGATAATAGTACTCAAAGACTATATCTGGAATAGCCAGGAAAATCAACAATAATTAAATTAGTCTATTCTTTTTATATATTCATCACAAAAAAAAAATGGTAACAACATGAGAGACATGATACAAATCTATTTACAAAGTACAAACCATGGCTGATGATGCACTATAAGTATGAAACTGTTTGGAACTAACATTAAAGTCCATCAAAATCTAGTTGAATAGTTACAATGTAGCTACATGTACTTGCAGTCTTGCACCCTGCAGCCTTTTTATCACGAATGTGGTGAGCTCCATATTAATTTAGATATAGATCTACTAAGAATAGACAAACCACATCACAACAATGGCCCCCTCTAAAACACACACCATACCACAAGCTTTCATGGTTAAATCAATCAATATAAATCTCTTCCAGCTGAAAACTCAAAAATGAAATTATCAAGGAGGGTGCACATTTTATGACAAACTACCATAAATAGTATTCAGGGTTGAAAGTGAGCACTAAAAAAAAAAAGGTTAATTTTTTTCCTCCACTGGCCACCCACCCCTTGGGAGAGAGAAGGAAAAAAGGATTTAGGGGGGGGGTGGCATCTAAGAACATTCCCCCCTTTTGAGTGAAAAATTTGAGAAATATTGGGAAAATTGGGAAAATAAGGGGAAAATCAGGAAAATAGGTTTAAAATCGGGAAGAAAAAAGAAATCAGGGGGGAAAAAATAATTGGGAAACCGATTTAAATTGGGTAATTATCAGGCCTGAGTATTACACATACATGTACAGTCACTTACAGTGCGATTTCAACAGTCATGGAAACAGTTATGAACAGTTTTGTAGGATACTGAATGTCCTTCGTAATCTGTATTCTTGCCCCATCAATGAACATAACTCTATGCCTAACTGGCCCGGTTCCCTATAACATTGAAGGTTCATACAAAGAACTGACAAATCTGCTATATCTGTACTCTTCATACATGAAAACTTAGAGTTTACAGGTATTTTACTATTTTCATATGATTCTGGTGAGGAAATGAAGTCAAATCAGACAAGTCACTGTATACAAAAATTGTATATCAAGCAACCAGTGGTATGTAAACTCCAAGAATTTGTTATCATAAAGTATGTGATTAATGTAGTGAAATACTTGAATTAAAGGCCTTTGAATTTGTATGTGTGTTTTTAAAAAGAAATATAGAACAAATCAAATGAAATTACTTCGACAGAGATGCTATGCAGCTCCATATATGTAGCAAGCAGCTTGGCTCAAAGGTTATTGTAGTTTGGTGATGACGAACTTTCAAAGTTAATGGAGGCCAACTATTGTCCTCCAAACACAAAAGTATCCCTGAATGATCAAACTGTGGGAATACCTGATTTCAATTTATCCACAATCATCCTTCAAATGAGCTTCTAAAAATCTGTAATCTGCAGATTTCATCAATTTATCAATTCTAGAGGGCTATGAGATAGAATGCCATCATGATCAGTATTTTCGGAAACAATGAAAAAAACAAAGCCATTAAGGATGACACTGGGATGTGTATGGAGTGATAAAGAGAAACTTCTGTCCTCTAGCACATCCTGTTTGCACAATTAACGACAAAATACGTCTGCCATGCTGCATTTAGCACATTAATAGTGCTAGAAAAGATAACAAATTGTATCATTTCACCATCTATTACTCAGTGCATACTGCAAAAGGAATCCCCGAATGGAATGTAATTTTTTGCATACAATAGGGTTTACCCCATTCGCTTTATGACTTCTGGGAAAGTGAAAGTGATTTGTAATTTTGAGATGGGTTAGGAGAACTAGTGGATATCCCCTTCAATAATCCTTACTCCATCATTACATGCATGACATAGAGAAATGAAATATTTGGCGTGCTGTTAGTCAATGATTTTTACGCCCATTGGCACGGCAGATTAAATAATCAGATGAAGTGTTTTCTGTGATTATTGGGCAAAATGTGGCTAGTATGTTGGAAAATTTGGTTAAATAAATTGAAATTGAAATACCCCATCCTATCAACCATCAACAATGATGTTCTAGCAATGCCCCTGCATGTACACGCAGCTGAACCTACTCATAATTGAAAGACACAAACATTTTCTACAAAAAATCAATAACAAAAACAACATAAATTAAAGGTCTTTTTCTCTGATAGATATACCGGTACATTATAATTAACAAGCAAGTATTAAATAAAATTGGTGATTGCAAACTTGCAACCATTTGTTTCCTTCTACAAAATGTTCCTTACAAAATGGCCCTGATTTGACTATAGATGGCAGTATTTAACATCCAACTCATTGCCCACTAAGAATCATTCATTTGTTATAGAATGTTCTCGAATATGAGAATGCATTGCGAAAGCCGAGAGACGAGTTAAAAATACATTATGCCGTTGTATAGAAACAATCTCAACAAAAGAGGGGGCTGTTAAAGAATGAAGATATTCCACAGTTGCCTCAGTTGCAGTCATTGTTTATTGGTACATAAAATGAACAATGATCGATCCTGGAACATCATATTCAAAAGCATCTTCTATTCTGTAACATTGCCTTGTTTTATAAGAAAGATATACCTGAGTACATGTACCTTCACTGTAGGTTACCAACTTTCAATGGTAATGAATGTGATCACAAAAAAATGGGAACAAAGCTATCAAGTTAACCACAAAAGCTGATTGATAGAGTTTTGAATCCTGGACCTCTTATCGCACACACCAGTACTAGCTCGATGCTAAAGTCAGACAGAACGGGAAGATGATACATGGCAGAATAAGGTGACGGTCAAACCTGCTTTAGAATCATCTGTGCAGAATGAACAAACTGTCTATTAAAGACATACATGTACATGTATTTATAGAAACCTGTGTCAAAAGAATCTACATATGTAAAAACCACTTGTTTATGGAGCCCTTGGGTGGTCTTTATATACAGGTTACACTCTTCTGGGAAATATTACCTACCTTCCTTTAGTTTCCTTCTCAGCTTGGCATGGACTCCTTTGACAACTGAAGACACTTTCTTCTCACATCCCTTCCCACCATCGCTACCGGAATGACATGGGCTTGACAGCCCGCCATCTTTCTTGGGTCTACAGGCAGCATCTGAGGATTCAGAGCTGGAGTAGTGCCTCGATGCTCCCATAGCCCAGCTGGCTTCTTCAACAGAGTTCTCACTCTTGGACACATCTGGTCTTGATCCTGGACAAGCCAGCGATGACAGGTAACTCAGAGAGGGCGGACTGATGGCACACTCTTCATCATCTCCTGGATAGGTGTGTGACTTTAAGTCCTTTGAGAGACTTGGAGCAGACCTGTCTCTGGAATCAGATAGAAGCTCAGAGGTTGGTATTGCTCCAATTGTCTCTTCTAGACTATTTTGAGGTTGAGAAGCAGCCATGTTGAACTGGAGACTAAATCTCAGTATCTGTATTGAATAATGAAATATGTGAGATAGAATGTATCACAGAGAAACATGTAATAAAATATGAATGAAACTTTGAAGAAAAATATTGTGTACAATACAAGTTAAGCTCATCTTGACTTCTGGTGATGGAATTCATTTAGAGAGAAACTAGCAAAACTGCAAGTGTAATTCTGAAAACATGTACATGTAGCTTATCATATAAAAGATGGGTTGTGTAGCCCCCCCCCCCCCTCCAAATAAACTGATCAGCCTGCCATTTTTTTCAACCACACTCAAATTACTTTAAATGAACAGTACATATTTAATTATATGTTCCCAAAACAATTTGGAATAACTCACTTCGTACAAAATAATACCCCAAAAAGCAAACACGCTAGAGTAACTACGGTATCTAACTTTCTAGGATCAGAAAGAGGAATGGCAGATGTCAAAGTGAATAGTTTAAAACATGTGTTGTAACGTTTGGAATGTTGACGTTTTGTCACTTCAACATTTTGTTGAGGCCTAAAACATTTGACAAATCATTCATAGCATCATATTTTTACTAAGAATAATAATTATACATTGTAAGGTTGTAATTTTTAATACCCTATCAAATGTGAATATCTGGGGGTACTAATATCCCAAAACAAAAAAACGATTCACCAGTCTTGAAACAAAATACTCACAATTGTATTTCATTCTATGAGACAATCTACACAAATGTTAAAGTTAAAGTATTTTTCTTTTCTTATTCCTTGGTACTATTTTCAATCTTTTTATTCCTAATTCACTGAAATAATTACAGTTTTCCTGAATTGCGACTAAGGCTTTGTCTTGGCTCCTCTTCTCGCCAATAATATAGGTTTCACGAGATGTCTAGCTATTAAGCTCTTTGTGAAACGGTTTAGGAAGATCAAAGACATCTTTGTAGTTCGCGGATAAAGTTTTGACTATCTTGTCATTGGTTTCAAGAAACGGCCCCCAGTTTTCCAGGATAGGATTGGATACATTATTATCTTTAATTTAAAAATTAATCCAGTTTGGATGATTTAAGTCTGAGCACCCAATCTAAGTTAAAGGTATTACAAAGTTTTAGGAAATTTTGAAAATGGGTGGATAGTGATTCTTTACAATTTTGATGTATTTGGATACCCATGTGCATGTAATATAAGCAGTAGAAAATTTAGCCCCTAAAACACTTCTGCTTTCGAGAAAAATTGAATATAAAAATTTACCGGTGCTCCCGGTAAATTTTGATATACATTTCAATTAGCGGCCGTACGATGGTAGCTGCGACCATAAAAATCTCAGAATATGTAGTTGTGATATATCATTTCCAAACGGGAATAGCTAATCGACCGATTTTAGTCAAGAAACATTGTTTTATAGCTTAATTAATGTCTTGACCTTGAGAGGGAGCTATACAACATAAAGAGTTTATTATTTACAATTTCATAACTTTAGACTCGATTTCAACCGCGACAATGATCACTGAATATTGTAGGGTCGCATATGCTTCCAATATGTTCATTTGATCCAAATTCATGACCCCATACCAAAAGTTTTCTTACCTTTAACAGTTCTATTCTCAAATAAAAACTAGACTTGACGTTAGTTACTTTTCCAAGTTTTCCCTTTCTGAAGATACCGGTAGTCCGGTACACATTTTTTTATCTCTTCATCACCCGTTATTGGTAATGATTTCATTTGGCACCATACCATTATTTATAGTTGCACTTTGCTTCGAAAAAACACTGTATAAATAAATGTAACTTTTGTAAGAAAGGATAAAATACTTGGCTTGGTTCATAGTCATAGACATAGTGGCAGACTGCTAATAATATGCTGCTTACATGTTTTTCATGTAAATATAGTTTGGCTAGCATCTATGGAAATAATTAATAACGAGATTTTGTATAAACACATATTATTACATGCTACATAAAGTGTACATTAATCGTTATAAATACTAAGCTGTAAGCAACGAAAACGCCTACTGCACGTAGCAGCATGCCGGAGAGTTCCGGGCGACGGGGTCATCATTATCCGCTCATAGACATACGCATTCACTAGTATTAAATGTGAAAATTCTACATCGATGTAAAGGTGACATGCTATAAAACCACATCAAGTACTAGATCTAGTGCTCTTACCCCTGATTTTCAAAGAATTCGAAGGTTGTCAAGTGTCGATCAGAGAAAAGCTCAATTGTAATATTTTTTTTCGTCCGCAGCTCCTGAACTTTTCTGAAGGTAACTACACACGTGAATTCCACAATGACTTCCGGTTAGGATTGCGTAATCAAACGTGGAAGTGGAAGGCAAAGACGTTTATCATGCCCATGAAAGGAAAATTTCCTCTTCGGAGGACAATTCGATATCTTGAGCAGGGTAAAATACATCTTCGAGATTCTGTTAAGATATTATCAATCAACTATAATTCCTTTGGAAAGGAGAGCGATGGAGCAAGGTGAGGCATGCGATTTATTATTTCCAAAGTGAAACTGCACAACATGGAATAACACACATGGGACTGGTTTCATAATTGCCAAGCATTGAACTGTTGATTATGCACATTTCAAGAATCAGCTTTTTCTGGGGCCTGTAACTTAACAATCAAACATACGTTCTTTTGCCATGGCATGGGATTAAACTTTAAAAAACGACTCAGTTAAAGGTTCACGACTGAATGTATGTGTGTGTGTGTGCACGTGTGGGATCTGGGAGGGAATGTCATATTGTGCGCGTGTGTGTGGAAGGGAATTTTTTTTACAAGTCTGAATGTTTGCAAACCCAGTTGAAAATAAGTCATATGAGTTTGAAGTGTAAGAGAAATGCATGAAAATTATTTAAAATCTCTCTTCAACATAGATCTAAATATCATATGGCATTAATAATCGTTTACCAGTATCTGGTGCTGTGGTCTTCCAGTGTTCAGCATCCGCCCGCCCGGGATGAGGCCTAGATGCTCCCATATCTTCTCCTACAGGTAGTGTCTCCTTCCAGGCCAGGTTTTGTGAGGTCTACCACAAGATTTTGAGCCTGCATCCTGGAAATTCATTGCTCTATGTCACTATGATGTACATGTAGCCAATGGATTTTATTTATTTTTCTCCTGACCACATGACCATGCCATCTCAATCTATGCATCTTTATCTCCAGTGTGATATTTGTCAGTTCCAAAACTTTTCAACTGTGTATACTTGCTCACCATTGAAACCTAAAGAGAACATTTGCATTATTTTTTTTTTTACTGTAGTCATGCATTACTCATTTCTGTTTACTTTTGTTTCTTTCCACAGGGACTTTGTATTTTACCACCTACCTCAGCTACAATACAAGAACCCAAATGTACAGATGCAAACCTTCAAGAACATCACACCATCTCCATTTATCAGATGTTTCCTCAGTAAGTACAGTATACTGTGGTAGTGATAGATTAGATGAGCAGGCATTTATTGGTATTGTCAGTCTTAGAAAAAGAAGGGAAACAGAGTAGAATGTAATAGCTCGTAGGCTTTAAAGCATTATTTAATTGTTTGGGGAGGGGTATGCGTAATAATTTTCCATCCAGAAATTTTGGTACCTAAAGATAACCAATAAAACGTACACAAACCTTGGGTGAAATATTACACTGGAATACAAATTGTAGGTTATTTGGTCAAATCCCCCCCCCCCCCCCCAAATGTGTTGACTAAATACACATACATGTACAGAGAGACTTCTTATTTAGAATGACAAAATAATAGTACTTTTGCCTGAAAAGGAATATTGAACCTATCTACCGTACATGTATAAAAGAGTCCACAACTATTTAAGAATGACCACTTTAATTTATTCCTGAAAAAAAAACAGGCATCCTCATAGAAAAGTTTATTTCCATACAATATACTTGGAAAGCATTATAAATCAAAATTTTACTTTGATAATTGTTCAAAAATTGGGCTGCAAAAATGGAAGGCAGATAACAAAACCATCACATTCAACAATGCATGAAACTCTTGAATTTACAGATGAAGGTAAAGAGGTGCTTATTGATGTCGAGGATAAGACCAAAGATGACATTGTAGAACACCTCAACAAAGTCCTAGGAAAATCAGAGTAAGTATTCAGATTTAAAAATATTAACAATGTAGCCACTTCGAAGCACAGTGATAGTTAATTGTTTTATCATTTGTAGTAATCATACTGTGCATGTTTTCTAAGAAAGGGGCAATAAAAGAAAGAAATAGGTAGGTTTTTGTCTGGAATGGCATGAATCAACCCAGTTAAACTGCAAAAACTGACAGAGATCAAAAGCTACACATTAAAAAGATCATTCTCTGAAAAGCCTTTGGAGGATGTTATAAGCAGGACTAATTATCCCCAAAATAGTTTGCTCTCAATCTGTGTGTTGTTATACTTTAGTATTGTCAAACTAAATGCACACTATGAAAGTGACTCACTAGTAGACTAGTCAATCCATGTACAGAATTATTGATTAACTCCTTTGTAACTTTCTTGTGCTTGTGGGCTGTGATATCTAATCATCTTTTCTTTCTTGTTTGCATTTTGATCCTCAAACATTTGAATATATCATACAGTTTTTGTTTTTCTTTATGGAGGTATTTTTGTCTTTAAATGATAAATGAAATAGGATCGATAATACTGTAGTGGGTTCTTGCATAGCACTCGTCTGTCAGACTTGACAATCCCGGCACTAATATATTATTGATTGATCCAAGTTCATGAATGCTTTGAAGATTTCTCCCTTTTTGAGGGGGGGGGGGCAGGGTGTTATTTATTGTTTGTTATTCCCTTTGTGCAAAAACTTGGTGACAAATAAAGGATAATCAATAAATGCTGATCTTAATTCTCACTTTATCTTCTGTGCCTGCTAACAGACGTGTCTTAGCCACCGAGAGGAAAGCCATGGAGCGTTCCTCTAACCCAGCAAACTTTGGTCGTACCTATGCCAGATGGTGCATCTGTGAGGTCCCTGGACAGTTCCCCTGCCCCAAAGTGGTGCCCATGCCCAACGAGATGAAGGGCAAGTACCGTGAACTAAAAGAGGACAGTCTACGCGCCCCTGAGGCACTCGTGCAGAGGGCAGACACGCCCACGGAAACAGCTGTATAACAGCGACTCTAGCTCTTGTGCTCCTAAAGACTTTTAAATTGAAGTGACTGTCTGTGTAATATATCTCAAGAAACGTACTCTGAGGGCTGTTCGTGACCATTGGATCTTGCATGGAGATTAATGCTGTATTATTGCCCGAGTTATATTGACCAAAGTACCCAGTAGATGGAGAACATGTTTTCCTAAAATCAGAGCATATTGCAGAGGTGTACAACTGTTTTCATAGGCTTTACTTTTAAAAGATTAGAAAAGTGTCATATCTAGTGAATTTATACAGTCTTTTATTTTCAGCGGAGATAACCTCTTTGTTAACACAGCTAAAGTGAAAGTACATGTGAAAGTTGGACAAGGTATTCCAATAGTGCTGATTGGAATATGTAAATAAGTGTATATGAATTATGATATTTTGCATCATGTATGTACATGATCCATCAATGACAATAAAATTTGAAAACTTGGTAAGCATTGTTCAAGTTGTTTGGATCGAGTCTTGAATTGATGTTAATTAAAATAAGTCATTGTATTCTTAATTTGTAGTGTTTTTAGGAGAGATTATGGGGACATTCATTTACAGATGAAAAGATTTTCGAGGTCTTGTAGATTTACCCATTAAAAAGACCTTTTAATTACCTCCTTTTGGCAAACTTTTTAAACACTACAGAGCGAAAGAAAAAATAAGAGATAATGAACATACATGTAGGAGAGATAATGAGCATCAAAGACAAGTCATTAGAGAGATGGACGGAGAAGGATAGAGAGATTGGCAGATTAAGAGAGGAGAGAAATAGACTGAGGTTTGTAGAGGAAGGGGAGAGGGGACAGATTGACATGTTAGTGTTGGGGAATAAACAGGAGAGGGAGTGACATTACAAATTAAAGGTAATACAAAGTTTGGACATTTTGAAGATTGGGTGGATAGCGATTCTTCACAATTTTGATATATTTTGATGCCTGTGGATGTATTATACACTAGAAAATTTAGCCCCTAAAACACTTCTGCTTTCGAGAAAAAATTAAATGTAAAAATTTACCAGTGCTCCCGGTAAATTTTGATGAATCTCAAATGGCACCTACGGCCGTACAATCTCAGAATATGTAGTTGTGATATATAATTTCCAAACGGGAATAGCTAATCGGTCGATTTTAGTCAAGAAACACTGTTCTTTAGCTTAATTAATATCTTGACCTTGAGAGGGAGCTATACAACATAAACAGTTTATTATTTACAATTTCATAACTTTAGACTCGATTTCAACCTCGATATCGATCACTGAATATTGTAGGATCGCATATGCTTCCAGTATGTTCATTTAAACCAAATTCATGACCCCATACCAAAACCTGTGTATTACATTTAACAAATGTTAAGTATGTAGGGAAGGAAAGTGATGAAAGAGTAATTAATAAATGATGGGATTGAGATTATAAGAGAAAGAGCACGAGGCAAACATAGACTTATAGATGAGATAGAAAGAAGAGAGGCATCCAGATATTGGCTGGTCAAGCATGGGAGAGGTATACTTAGAGAGAGAGAGAGAGAGAGAACAGAGAAGACTACTGTGAGATGGATGTAGATAGAGATTAGCAGATTTGAGGAACCAAGATTTTCAATATGCACATACTATACAAGAACTTCCTGCTTTTGCCCCCTTTCATTTATACTCCAACACATTTTCTTAGAGCTCTCTCTCTCTCTCCATCTCCCTCTCCCTCCCCCCCCCCCCCTCTCTCTCTCTCTCTCTCTCTCCCTCTCTCTCTCTCTCTCCCTATCTCCCTCTCCCTCTCCCTCTTTCAGTAATGGATCCAGGGTTCAGAGGCTCTGATGACTAATAATCAGCTGGAGATTCTTCTGGAACCCATGGAAAACTAGAGACCACACTCACTCACTCTCAGCCCTCCCTCAGATCACATTCTTCTGGAACCCATGGAAAACTAGAGACCACACTCACTCTCAGCCCTCCCTCGGATCACATTCTTCTGGAACCCATGGAAAACTAGAGACCACACTCACTCTCAGCCCTCCCTCGGATCACATTCTTCTGGAACCCATGGAAAACTAGAGACCACACTCACTCTCAGCCCTCCCTCAGATCACATTCTTCTGGAACCCATGGAAAACTAGAGACCACACTCACTCTCAGCCCTCCCTCAGATCACATTCTTCTGGAACCCATGGAAAACTAGAGACCACACTCACTCTCAGCCCTCCCTCAGATCACATTCTTCTGGAACCCATGGAAAACTAGAGACCACACTCACTCTCAGCCCTCCCTCAGATCACTTTCTTCTTACTAATAACCTTCATCTCTACATGCTAGACTTTAATGTTTTTGTGATTCTCAAAAACGTTCATGTTTCAAACTTTCTCCTTTCTTTTACATTCCAAAGGGTATTACATGTATAGGCAGTTTTTACATTAACTTATCTTGTACATGTAGATAATGATATATCTTCTCACCCAATCACTGTCATTCTTCTCTTTCAAAAAAAAAATTCCTTCATTACCAGATTTCAAGTAGTATTTCAAGATCGCCTTGAAGGATAGATACATATCCATCATAGTGCTCTTTATTACATCTCCACAATTCAGTAAGGATATACCATCAAACCAAGAAATATCCCTAGGTCAAGAAATATAAAACATGTTATCACATTCATTCATACGTTAACTTTGTACATGTATTTTGATATGGATGTCAACAATTTTACATCATTCATCTTCTAGAACTGACATGCTAAGCATCCTAATGCTAATATAAATACATATTTGTCGGATGACTTTTAGTAGGTGGAAAAAGTTTGTTAATACATTTAGAGGGAATATAGATAAAACGATTGGTAAAATACCTCTCAATACTTTACACGTACTTTGCCCAACTGTATCAATCAAGGAAATGCCATATCAAGGAGATCTAGGGTGTCGTTTCAGAAAACCGTCACAAGTACAATTTCACTGACAACCCAACGAACCATGTTAAACTTATTACACGCATTTCTATGAGTTGTTGGCGACCTTGTACTACTGACGGTTTAGCGAAACTCTGCCCAATATTCAATAAACACTTTTATCCTCATGAAGAAGTATTAAATACCTTTTACTTACCGGGTACCCCCCCCCCCCCCCCCCCCCCCTCCCTCTACAAATTTCTACAAAAACACTGTATTAAAAAAAAAATCATAATTTGTATTATTTTTCCTTTCTATTATTTCTGTAGACAAATGAATTTCTGTCTTCATATCCTTTCATTTTCTCCTCTTTTTGTAGATGAAGTCATATTAATCTTAACATCTTTGTCTTCATTGGTTTTGGGTCTTTTCCAGATCAGCCTCCACATTCATCCTGTTCCCATTCTCTGATCTTCTCTAAATCATGCATTGCTTCAATTGAAACCATTCCACACCCAGGTCACAACTCTATGTCTGCTGATCCCTTCAATACAGTACTAGTCTCTCTTCTTACCGGTATTTCCTTTCATCCTCTCTCTCTCTCTCTCTCTCTCTCTTCCTCTCTCTCTTCAGAGGAATCGTCCATGCTAAAGAGCATGCAGTTTATTCATAGTCTTATTATCAATTGAGGATGGCAGTGATCATTTCCTCTTCATGGCTCTCTTTCCTTCTCCCTTCTTCGGAGGAGCTTTTCCTTTCATTTTCTGAACCCTCTTCATCTCGTCTCTGAAGTCTGCATGCTCGTCTCTGTGAAATATAAAGACATTTTAAATAACATACAAACAATAATGAAGTTAGGTTAATGTTCTAAAGTAAATTTACAAACAAGTACAACATAATAATCATGGTAGAAATTCATACAGCACCTTTTTAACCAAAAAAAAGTAATTGTAGGGTCAGCATTGACAAAATATCAAATAGTGTTAGTGACAGTTCAGTGATTGCAGAGTGTAACGATATATGACTTACTTCAGTTGGACATAAAAGGATTTAAAATAAACCAATCTTAAAATTAGATGGAAATATATTAAGAAGAAGGAAACATTTAACAAAAAAGATATCAAAGTCCCCACTTCACATGTGTATTTATTTTTTGGTAAGAGCCCTTTTTCTCACATGACATGAAAAATTCTATCTTTACTTGTTTTGATATAAAAGGTAATACAAAGTTTTTTGATATGGGGTTATGAATTTGGTTCAAATGAACATATTGGAAGCATATGCAAGCCTACAATATTCAGTGATCGTTGTCGCAGTTGAAATCGAGTCTAAAGTTATGTAAATAATAAAATCTTTATGTTGTATACCGGTAGCTTCCTCTTAAGGTAAAGATATTAATTAAGCTATAAAGCAATGTTTTTGACTAAAATCGACCAATTGCCTATTTCCGTTTGAAAATTATATATCAGAACTTCATACTCTGAGATTTTAATGGTCACAGCTACCCTTGCATGGCCGTAGGCGCTATTTGAAATTTATCAAAATTTACAGGAAGCACCGGTAAATTTTTATATTCAATTTTTCTCAAAAGCAGAAGTGTTTTAGGGGCTAAATTTTCTAGTGCTTATAATACATCCACAGGGGCATCCAAATATATCAAAATTGTAAAGAATCACTATCCAGCCAATTTCAAAATTTCCCAAATACCTTTAAAAAAGCTATATTATTTTTTGTTAACCCTGGCATATTACCTGTATAATCCTATATATCTGAGGTAGCCCATCAACTTAAAGGCTTCCATATGGGGTGGGTAGTAATCAACGATATGTTTCCTCATCTCTCTCGGCTCTTCTCTCATCATCTCTACAACCTTCATAGACTTGGACGATGTTGGCTTATAGACGTCTCCAAAGATGCGAGCACCCAGGCGTGCCATACGCCTCGCATAATTTGATGACATCTTTGCCGAATCCAAACAGCAGATTAGCAGGACGTCAGTGTGTGTATTATACCAGTTATCTAGAAGAAAACAAATTGCATTTCGAGATATCTTTGTTTTAGTCAACCAAATGAGCTCCAGGCAACTGTTATGATCAAGGTCCTTGTTTTAATACAAGCAACTTCACATTACTTCAGCAAATCTTATCATGTCAAATATCGTCGTCATCATTTAGAGTCAGTATAGAATTCTATAGATTTCTATAAAGAATTGGGACTGAAAGATGTTTGATACTCTCCGATTCATCTCCAAGGGGGAGGGGGGGGGGGTATTTCGATTTGCACTTTTCAATTTTTATCAGCACTTCTTCACTAAATGCCATTGAAAATCAGTCTGAAATTCTTACGGGTTCGTAATGACATGCACAGTTTTTCCATTATAATCATTTTGCCTACGGTGTAGACTGGAGCTGGAAGGGATGAGATTTAGATGACGTCATGCGCAGCGAGAGTTTAAACTACCGCTGCAAGATTTTTATCATGGATGTCGATTTTGACCCATAATTTCCTAAAAAGGGACCATTAAACGGATTATTTCAGTCAAGTTGGTAAGTGGAACCGAAGCAGTTAAGCCCAGACTCAGTACTTGTAGCTATGGCCTAGGCCTATCCACACATAGGAGCATCACTATCCTGGCTGTGTAGTAAAAGCTGTGCCTTTGATTCTCAACATTTCAAACACCACTGTACAAAACTCAACTGATTTCACTAAAAATCGGTACTTTAGTGACAATTGATGACACCTAAATAGCAGTAAAATACTTTTTTTTTAACTTACTGATGTTAAAAAGAATAATTTAAAAATTCAAATTGCAAGTCTAGTGAGTAGTGTCAAACTTAGACCGAAAACTTCAGTCTCTCTAATCGTCGGTTGTTCCACTGAGACTACGTCTGGCTCCACTAGACCTCCGATTATAGAGACTGAAGTCTGGGGACCTCTTTCTGTGAGGCACTGTATGGAACAAATGGTTCGGTTCGACCGGACCGCGATGAATGAGATATGCAACGAGATTTTCACTCTTTACATCCTCATAACTGCTGCAATTACAACACAAATTAAAAATAACATATATATAGCTTATTTGACTTACGATAGCTTGCTCATTTAGATCCTAAATTAATGATTAATCCGAGAAAGTCTCGTCGTCAACATTATCCGTCTTGGTTTTAGTTGATGAATATTCATTTTTTCTTTTCGAACGTCCAATAGCTACCGTAGCTACGTACGAGTCGGCCCAGCTTGACCAACGAACTCCCACGAAACGAGTGCTCTGATTGGCCATTTGGCTATGTTTTGGTAGGTGGACCCGGAAATATATCGGCCGCCGGGTAATATTTCGAATGCATGAACGTACTGCTTCGCGGATCTGAGATACAAATTGGATAATTCATATAGACCTAAGTAAGTCCGTAAATTATGTATTTAATATTAAGTTATCAAATTTTGATAACTGTAATTAGGACAAATGACATACCGACCTAATTTACATCTGATTTAGAAATCAGAAAATTAGATCTAAATAAAGAAAATCGGGGAGAAAATGTTTTGACAAAAAAAGCTGCCATTGTTGGCTATAGCTACCCCCACGGTACGAGATCTCTGGGTTGCCATCTGTATTGGGGAATGACAACAAATGTCAGTTTTATTAAAGAAATGACCCAAATCAGATGGTTATTGCTGTCTATGTCAAACTTTGCCTTCAGCTGCATCGACATGATTGCACAAAGTCTATGCAAAATTGTGTGGTGTGTGTATTTGTGTATGGGTATAATAATACCTGCCTCACAGCAAGCATGCAGTGCTAGAGGTCAATACGCATTAGCATTGACTCTCTAGGGTCTAGATCTATGCTTTGCTGGAGTGGGCCTGGCCTGCCTAGAGTCTAGCTAGGGAGGCCAATGCCCGGGCGTAAGGCTTCTACGCCTACGATTTGTGCACTCGTCGTCCAAGTCAGAAAATTACCAGAAGAAAAAAAAAGGGGAAAAAAAAGAAAACAAATATCTATGGAATAAAATGTATAACAAATACACAATTACACACTCCACAACATACCTATAATCACGGATCTGTAATGGTCTTTCACCATTTGTTGACGATCTTGCAGATTTTGATGTATTTTGATCCAATAATTGCGCTAGCAGACGAAAATAACGGACGCACAAGAGAAACTAGACGGGTCCTAGAGGGCGATGAGGTTAGCTCACTAAAATCCTTCTCAATGACTGAAGGTAGCGCCTAAAAATATGGAATCAATTTAATATCAAAGAACTTTTGATAGAGATTAACATATCAGTTGTGCACAAATGTCACTTTTAACAACTAGAAAATATAACGAAAAAGGATTATATCTTTTTAATTGCAGATTTTTAAAAACTGCACAATCAAAGGTAGATAGAGTACGATGTTTTTGTCAATCTTGCGTTGGTTTGAGCCCCATAGCTAGAGCCATCTCAAATTGGGGAGCAAAACTGTGAACAAAGACGTCATTGTTCCAGCCCAAAATAGAAGTCTTGCGACATCATAATATGAATATGTATGAGGTCCGGTCTCATCGCGCGCAAAACAAATTTGACGTAGTCTCACACATAGTACCTTTTTCTCAGCACTAGACACCAGTGTCGTGCAGTAATGTATGAGAAGTGTAAAAAAAGACATTTCAGTAAAAAAAAAAAGTCTACGTGAGCAGTCTATACTCCAATTGAGAAGTGTAATGAATGCCATGATTTGAACGTGTGTGTTTTGGTGTATGATATCATCATGGTTAGTGAGAGAGAGAGAGAGAAAGAGGGAGAGAAATATCTCCGTCAGTACACGTCTATCAATGCGTGCAGTCCTATTGACTATAATATGTTTGATTCCGTATTGTGTTCGCTGCAACTGTTGGATTTATCGATCGTATTGTGTTCGCTGCAACTGTTGGATTTTGCAGTGTCAGATTGATCTTTACTCATGAGGAAATAATTGGAATACATATCAAAACTAAGGTAGGCCTATTTATTTATTTCAATCATTTTCTTAATCTACAATGAGTGGTTTTCGAGCTTTCTCTCATTATGGCATGGCTAGCATGGCTCGATTGCGGCTTGCATGCAATTACCGTACCTGGACGGCCTGTAGTACTGTGTCGGTGTGTGCGACTAATTCAAGGCTAGCCGGTGATGATGAATGTACTTTCGCGCGAAGTTTTGAACTTGTTGTCCGGGCAATGACCATGATGACACGCCCATTCCCTCGGGCCTGTCTAATTCTCGACGTAATTTTTGGGACCATGAAATTGATTGTTTCAAGGCTCTTGCGTACGGCCAAGCGTAGAAGGAAGGGAGTGCTTAAAAGCTGGATATCTCCTATTTTATGGAACTTCTGGAGTCGGCAGATGGGTGAGTTTTCTTAGTGAAAGTAAATGCTTTCTTTTAATCTTTGTTTTATTTTAAACAAATTCGTAATTAAAAAGTTAGATTTGGGCATTGGCCTCCCTAGTCTAGCCCTAGCTGGAGTGGATTTATGTGACGTTTGTTGCTTGTCTTAATAAACAACCAAATCAAATTCTTTGTGAATTACCATATGTAAATATGAGTGGACAATTACATCCTCACGGCGGGTTAGCCGGTTAATACAGATCTCACATTTTTCGGAAAAGTAAAACTAAAAGTCTAGATCTAAGTTAGTTCCAGCTAGACACATGTAATTGCACATGCGGGACCGAGCTCGACAGTTCCGATAATGCTAGTCTAGTCATTTCTCTCAGCCGATTTCACATATTTTTCACCTTAAATTGAATGATTTAGCACTAATACAATAAATGCAAAGGCTTAACCTTTCAAGACCTTGTGTCTAATAACCGAGAAGGAAATTACCTACCCTAGAAGTCTATTTCTACAAAAAAAAATCGTGCAATTTGCTTACCTAAAGAAAACGACCAAAGAAAACAAGGCTGAATGATGAACAGTAGTTTTCCGTAGATGGCGCTCGACTTCCAACACAGCGCTAACAGAGGACAAATTTCATAACTTTAGACTCGATTTTAACCGCGAGAACGATCATTGAATATTGTAAAATCGCATGTGATTCCAATATGTTCATTTGAAACGAATTCATGACCCCATACAAACACTTTGTATTACCATTAACATTAGCAGTGTCCTGCAAGGAAACCGGTTTACCTTTCTAGACTTCACTGTCTGACAATATTGAGTGACTGATTGGCACTGATTGGCGTATTATTGTCCACCGGCACTTCCTGGAAATAAACGAGGCCTTCTGATTGGTTAGAAGTTAGAGAAAAGTGATATATAACGTCACGAGACGTTGTATAAATTGTTGCTGCACAGTGCACAAAGACCCTGCCTGGTCTTGCACTTCACCAGTAGTACTTGCAAAAATTATCTCGAGTGTATAAACTGTGTTGTTATCAGGGGTGTCGCTAGACCCTTTTCAGAGTGGGGGGGGGGGGGGGTGTAGAGGCCACCGATTACCGACAAAACTAGCCACCAATTACAGACAAATACTTTAACGCCAATATCCCAATGTCTATAAATTTAACCCTAACCCGGGGCCAGGAAATAAGTTATTTCCAGTTTCCCCCCTCCCGCGGAAGCTTTGACGTTTCATTAAATTATTAGAGAAAGAAGAGGATTCGTTGTACCGACTTTTAATCATTGTCTGAAATTTCAAAGATGTTTCTTTCTCCGATAAAAAGTCACAGTCTGTTCGTACTTCGTAGGGGAACAAAAATTGCCGACCGACCGACATACTACATCTCACCGACTCCAAATTCTGCATTGATATAGTACACGAGGATCTAGCAAGAATACCGACACAGCGGACCCGACACAGCAACATAATTATCTATGCGTATCTTTCTTGCCCCTTCGACATGGTGACTCCACCCAACATCCCCCTCTCTCTTTTACTCCCACCCCTCTCCTCTCAGGCTCTTACCCCCTCTTATTATCTTCTCTTTCATCCCCCGTTTCTTTTGTTTCCTTATATCTTCTTCTTCTTCTTTTCCTTTTCTTTCTTTTCTTTCTTTTCCTTTCTTTCCTCTCCTTTTTTTTCTTCTTTTTTTCTCTTTCTTTCTTCTCTTCTCTCTCCTTTCTTTCCTTTCCTTTACTTTTCTTGTTTCTTTCCCTTTCCCTTTCCCTTTTATTTCTCCCCTCCCCCTTTTCTCGTTTTTCCCGACAGCAGCGCAATTTTACCGACAATATCCCAACAGGTGGGGGTGTCCCTGGTTGTTATCCCATTATTCTGTTAAGAGAAATGCAATTCCTCATGCTCTCGCACCTCTCTTCTATAGTTGTTTAATTCTCTTTCGTTCTTTTCCCTTTCTCCTTTAAAGGTACTATGTCCCATCTGCAGGCCAAATTTTTTTTGTGTGTGGTTCTTCTTGTGCTTTTTTTTTTTTTTTTTTTTTTTTTTGGGGGGGGGCTACACGCTTGGCAAAAGGGACCCCATATTATGCACACTGGAAACTTGTGTGCCCCCCCCCCCGCCCCATTCCCGGTAAAATAACACCTTCTCATAATATCATCCCCCTTTCTTTCTTTTCTCATGTATTCCCCTTTTCCCCCTTTTCTCTCCTCCGTCTTTCCTCCTTTCTTCCTTTTCCGTCTTTTCTCTCTTTACCTTTTTCGAAAGGGTGCGTTGAACGCACCACACCGCACGCCGCCGCACCTCACCGCACTGCATAAGCCACAAGAGTAAAAGAGAGTATAAGAACGAACTATGCCCCTGCATGTAAAAAATATAATCGTGCTCGTATTCATCACAATGTTTTTCCTTGAGATAAATCATTTTGATATAATTATGAAGAGTGCCCTTTTTCACCAAAACATTTGCGCCTTATATGCTTTTTATTGGTTCTCTTTTCCTTTTGAATATTCAGTCTTACTCTTAAATAGGCTATTGGTTTATGATGTATTTCATTTGAATATACTTTGCTTAAAGTGTTCAGAATGATGCTGCATAATTTTTATAGCAGCCTACAATAAAATAAAAAAATGGGGGGGGGGGCAGACCTACATGTACATTGTATTTGATCTGAGTTGGTTGCATTGATTTATTGCTCTGTTAATTTTAGTTGGAGATTTAGGAGAGTGGATTAATTTGAAATTGGTAGTGAATTTTGGATGATTACTGTTTTTAATTTATATTGGTGAGAGGTTAATTTCTATTACTTTACACCCCTTACACTACAATAACATAGGTAGGCTCAGTGGCGCCGGAAGTGGGGGGGGGGGGCAGAGGGCAGGTCGCAGTGGCGGATCCGGGGGGCCGGGGGCCCGCCCCCCCCCCCCCTCCTGGAAAAAAACGTGTAAAAACACGTTAATTTTACCTTTTTTGTTTAGATGCCCCCCCCCCCCCCCACCCCCTGGCTCTCAAGGGGGGGGGGGTGCGATTTTTCAAATTTTCGAGGACCCCAAAAAAAAATTGTGCTCACTACCCCCCAACATTCACATTAAAATATCAAAAGACACAATAACCGTACATGCTATGAAAAGATGCTTTTATCATCCCTCATCATCCCCAAAACAATGGATTCCTCATAGCCTCCCTCAATTTAAAGCGACTGAAAGCAATCCTTTTCTCAAATTTCATCTAAAACTCGCTCTCTACGCTCGCTCGAATTTGAAGTTTATTTTAATAAGGAACGTATTAAAGGGCTTATTCATTCTTTCATTGTGCAATTTTCATATGAACGACATTCACCCGTTTTACTTTGTCAATCTTGCACAATAGCTGGTTGTCTATCAATAGATGCTCTGACTTTGGCTTATTATGAACAGGGAATTCACCCATCTTCACTTCTCGTCATCACGTGGTTAGCGAATTGTATTACCATGGCTACATGCTCCGATGGTTAATAACCATAGAATAGTTCTTCCAAACTATGGACGAGACTGGTGACGATGCACATTATGAGAAGAGTGTCGTTAATTGATATAGACCAAGAATGAATATATACGAGTTCAGTCTCACAGCTTAGAAACGATTAACATGTTTAAACGCCAAGTATGTGAAAGTCTTTGAAATCATGATAATAGATTTAATTGTATGAATAGGGACAATGGAGCGATCAAGATACTGCTTGACCCCCGAATTCGCGCGTTTTCTTCAGTTCCCTTTTCGTTTCGTATTTGGTAAGTACATATATTATTATCTTCTCTACTTTTTCTAGTAGCATAATTATGCACGTGTGTATGCTATCACAGTACTGGTGTTATGTAGGAGAGATATATTATTAATCGAGAACTTATTTAATCATAAAATACTGTCAGGTTGTTGCTAGGTTGCTGGTATATAGACGAACTTTTATTTTAACATTATGCATGTATGTTTGTATTTGATTAAAATATGATCTTGTAATGATGTTCTCTATTGTGATATATTATTGTTAACAAAACTGCTTATCGCCATATTGCCAATATGCTTGTGTATGAACTTTGATTTAGATTATTTCAACCAAGACTCTTAAGAATGTCGTTACGAGATAATGAGACATATCCTCATTCAGTTGTTTTATCGTAATGAATAGAAATAATGATCAAGTTGTTTATCTGTCTCTCAATGAATGATTATGCGTGATTGGAGATGTCGGTGTGCATGCAACGATACGTAATGATTTGTCAAGTAATCTTCGGAAAGTGAATGTGTAACTCCATATTGATTATTTTTAAAGCTCTGATAGAAGCAAGACGACTAAAAGCTTTATCATGCTCTTGTTTCTTTTATTGTGATAATTACGATTGATTCAGAGGACAATGTAAACATTTAATTTTATACGAGGTCCTTTTGTAATTGAATGCATATCTCTTTCATGGAAGTAACTTGGAAACAGAGAACTAGATACATTATTTGGTCGCATTATTTATTCAAACAAATCACCGACATATTATGTTAATTTAATTCGTGTAAATATATGTATATGAATTCAATTATTATTATCCATAAGAAACAAGGATCTCCATGCAAAAAATTGTGAATATATGTAATTACACTGTCGCTCATAAAGGTGGAATATTTTTTTTTTATCCCAATTTATGGAATTATTTTAATCCCAATTTATGGAATTATTTTAAAAATAATTTAAAAATAATAGATCTAGATAATAGTATACATTCTCAAATTTTATTGAATAATAATTTGCCAATGTGTGTTTTGCGTGACTGCTAAAGCATGTGTATGCTACTATGCTTATCAACTAGGGGACCTATGCCCTTAAGTCATAAATGACAGTAATGAGGATTAATGCCCCACAAAGGGGCACTAATATAGCACATCGAGACGGTTTTGATCCTGGGGCCTTACAGTTACGTGGCCATTGCTTTGTCACTGAACCATGACTGTACGCAGCGGGGGCTATAGGGTAGGGTAAGAGGATACTTTTTTTTTTTTGGTCCCAAAAAAATCGGGGTAAGAGGACACTTTTGAACATTTGACATTTTGCTCCATGGGGGGGGGGGGGGAGGTAAACTTTTTTAGGTCAGCAATTGGTTTAATTTTTTTTTTTTAAATGAAATAAAAAACAAAAAATGCAAAGGGTTTTCCTCCAAAATACACACATAAAAAATACCAAAGGGGGTGGGGGGGTTCAACCCCCAACCCCCCCCCCCCCTGCGTACGCGCCTGTTGACCACACCTAGACTATTCTTCTTCACAACTAAAACGTAATAGTAACCTTCAACCGGTCATGTGCAGTTAAAGGTAAAGACCAGTTATGGTCATGCGATTGCATTGTGAAAGAAACGTTGTGGAATCGATCAGAAAAGGTTGATCATCTAGCATCTAGCATCTGCAAGGTTCTGGAATCATCAAAATGATAAGAAATTTGGCCCATTCTTCGTAAAGTTACAAGCACTATACACAGAAATATGTATATGGGACTACCCTATATCTCTCACAGACCATGAGAGAAACAAATTTACCAAATATATGAATTAGTAGGCGGTTTCCCGGCAAATTTTTTATCATCATGTATTAGTCAAAACATATTCTTTCACATGATTGGTAATGAGAGCTTCCATTTCATTTTTTGAAATTGGGGCGTTTCCAATACTGGTCTTTACCTTTAAATCCTCAAATACGTGGATATCGGTCCAAAGTGGAATAGAAGTTGTGAAATAATGCTATGATTGTAATGGTCTATCATATTATACTACAGACTTGCTTTTGTACTTCTAATAATTTCGATGTATAAAAATACTCATAATGGATAACCTGATTTTTAGATAGTGAACTTTTACTTCCCAATTGCTCAATAAACACGACTTGAACCAATTTTCATGGATATTTTAGTTCTATAAAGATGAGGGGCATGATATCAATAATATTGTAAAAAACAATATTGTAACTTTTATTTTTTTAGCCAATCATGGTGTATTTATGGGCAAATCAAGTTTTCATTTTCTTAAGTTGTTTTGGAAGTTATGAAAGAATATAGTTATTTATTTGTATATTCAAATTTGTTTTCCCTTTGAATATAACCACGATAATGTTCCTTTTCTTTTCTTTTTTTATGAAAGTTCTCTTAATTTGTTTCAAGTTTCAAGGTTAATTAAGGAAAAAACAACTTTAATGATTCGTTAAGGATATATATACAATTAAATTCTAAACAACATGTATATATGGTTTCTAAAGCAAACCGTTTAGGAGATACCCTAGTAGGTTAAAATTTAGAAGGAAAGGAATTCTATTTATCGACCCCATCAGCTTTTCCATCATTGTGCTATAATACATTGACTATCCGATACCGAAGTTTTTTTTGAAAACCTGGTTAGTGAACTAACAGGAATATTGTCAAATAAATGGTTCTGCCGTAATACGTAGTAGCATTCTCAAAGAATATTAAAACCTATCTGTTCAATCATGACAACTAGGACTGTTATGCCCTATCCTTAATCATGTTGTACCTTTGAGTTAGCGCGTTTATGTGGTTTCATCATTTGCACTATAGTGCGTCTATTATGTAAGTGATAGGCCTATGAATGAATTTTTTATTTGATCATTTATTACTCTCTCTTTCATTTTTTTTCAGCCATCGCCATATCAGACTTTTTTCGTACACATCACTTCGGTATGTATCTTCAATTTGTATAGTATTTCTTTTTAGACAATGTTTACGTACGATTCAGAATGGGAATACTTTTCAGAACCCTTGAATGTTTTTGATGTAAACATGCTACTTGAGGCCCTCTGACAAGTGGTTTGTTGTATTCCAGTATTCCTTTTAAATTCTGAGTGAGGCTATGAATTTGAAAATCTGTGAAATCAGTTGAAAATAACAAAAAATTATAATTCGTGAGTAACATTGTATTCTCCCACAGTCGAAAGCAAGGAGTAATATCTTTAAAGAATCGGTTAATCATTAATCAGCCCGGCAAAATAGACCACTTTTCAGGTAGTCCATGCACATTATTAAACAAAGAACTAATGAAATATAATTTCTAAAACAAATAGAGAAAAAATGAACATAACGAAAATCAAAAACTATATTCATCAAATTATCGAGAAAACTACGAGACCTACCATTTGAACCCAGCCCCAGCCCCCCCCCCCCCCCCCCCCCCCCCATGAACAAAATATGGATACCGGTAGAGGCTGATTAAGTTAACAAAGACGTGAGTAAGCTTGTCTATTCATCAATTAATATCACAATGTAATGGATTGAAATGTCTAAAACTAGTCTTATACTTAAAAAGGTTGTATTATTTGTATTCAAGATAAATGTTAACAGTCATAATTGCAAAGAAAATATTACTTTTCTTAGCAGAATATTTAGAACAAATTGGTAATGGGAGGCATCCATGCAAAATTTATTTTAAAAAATTCAAACAGTAATATACCTACGTTCAACTCATAAGAAATTGCAAATTGCTCGATTTCGTGGAACACACATCACATGAACTAAAGTTTTTTTTATGCATTAACCACATAACAGAGCTGTAATCAAGATGAGGTTGGAAAAGTGCATGCTTTATATTATAAAGCCTTGCAGCGAAAATTAATTCACATTTCTTAGGATTCGACAATAATTCATTGCGCGTCATCCACTTAGAAATCCGTGTTAAATCTCCATAGAGACGTAAACATACTCAATTGTATTAAAATCAGTATTACAGTGGAATGGTACTAAACTGTACCACATTTGAGATATCATTTATAAAAAATGATAAATAGTAAACAGCAAGGGACCAAGTGCACTTCTCCTGCAAGTGACTGTATTATAATCTAACATACTATATTACCGGTGACTGGAAAAATATGTTTCTTCAGAATTAGATAAACATGAAAAAAGCGTAAACTTGAATCATCAAAACCAACATGAATAAGTTTCTTTAGAATAAAATAATGAGAGACCACATCGAACATAACCATCAACCTTATTTGAGGTCTATACTTTGTTTATGTATTAATGTGTTGTAAATGTTTCTTCATCCTCTTCTCCAGATTAGTATGCCACGTATAGCGAGGGAGAGGGCAGCGCGATGCACTTGCATCACACAGAAAGGCAGAAGATGCAAAAGAAAAACGACCCATGCAACACGCATCTGCCATCAGCACAGGAGAAACCTGCCAGACGATGAGTGAGTTTTTATCTATCTTTTTTTTTTAAAGTACAGTAGTGAAATTTGTAATCAAAGGATTGGAAATGTTTATAACCATTTCAATAGACCAAGAGCATGAGCATCATTAGATTGGGAAAGGTGCACATAATTATACCCCCCCCCCCAATCGTTCTCAAAAGCGTTTTCGAGAGACATCTTCTTATTGTTTGTCCGATCCTTTTGTTTTAATCAGAACACTGATTTTCTTATTGTTTTTACTAATCACGCATAACTATAGATTTTGCAAGCAATGAAATGCCCTTTAAACATAAAAACAATTATCCCGTTCTGTTGAAGGTCCCGCCAAAATTTGAGACTCTGCTGACTTTCTTGTGCAGATCTGATATCAATTATTTTTAAAGAAAGAAAACCGATGATTGGAGAGCAGCTCTCCATTTCTTTTGTAATGGAAATAATAGAAAATACCCCTATTCTTGTTATGGGGATGTGTAACCCCAAAATGTGTCCAATAATATATTTCTGCTAAAATATAATATCTCCGTTGGAGAATGATGAAATAATGAGGAGTTATCAAACTTTCTTTCATCATGACTCGTTTATGTTTTATTTGTCAATGATACTTGATGATTTATATTAAGGAACTAAATAAACTCAAGAAAGTTCAAAAGCGAGCTCCGAGAATCATTTCAAACCAAAGTTACACGAGACTTTATGAATTTATAAGACTATATGAATTATTTTTTTTTATATACTCTGAAATGGATGCCAATAATATTGAGAGGCGTTTTGAATTTCAACGCGCAATTATAATTTGTTAATGATTTACAAAATTACAAGTATACATTTGCACCATCCTATTTACAAGGTTTACTTGACGTATACGAGTATACTAGGTTGGCTGATATAGGTTTACTTTCTGTGCCAAAGTATAGAGCAGAATGTTTCAAACATAGCCCCCTTCGTGTCTTCATTAATATTTTTGTATCAATTTGATAGATCATTGAAAGTGGCAAACTCTGTTAAAATCTTTAAATAATTATGTTCAAAGGATCTTGTAACATCCTCATTATTGAACTCTTACTCTTATTTCTCATTATATTTCAAAGCATTTATCTTGTGTTAATCACACCATTGATTCGTGATGCGTTTACAATCCAACTGTAGGGCTACATGCAGTTTTTATATCCATCGTGATGGAATTTGCTTCATAGTTATCATAATGTAGGATAACATGAAGCTTTTGAAATTAAATCATTGACATTATTCGTTATCAGTTTATATTGATATGTTCATTAGTGTTTAGCTTGTATATTCAAATGCTATTTTAATTCAAATCAACGGAAATTGTATTACTTAACAAGGAATTCAATCTTGGAATATTGTTATCCACTCTTGAGATACCAAAAGTTTTATATATAACAATTTTGGTATCTCAAGTGTGGGTCTATAATACAAGTCTTTGCAAACAAGTTACATAGAAAATTGTTTTCCACTGGCGTTACAGTCATATTCAAGAAAATACATAATTACAAGAAATAAATACATCACCTTTAAAGAATGAAATAGATGAAATAAGGAACCAATACATGCAATAGATAATGAAGCGACAAAAATGGTCATTGGTACTTCAAATCATGAGTTTCAGAATTAAGCCTTGGTCATTGGTATTTCAAATCAAGATCGTCTTTTTACTTTGCTTATGAGCTTCAGAAACAATATGAGGCTATTAAAAAAGATGTATAAAAAGTAAAGATTATATTTTACTTCATTTAAGAACAGATTACCATATATACATGTACGGTATTACAAATATATGCAACACTATTTTTTTTTGTTTAAAAAGTCCGCATTTATTACGAGGATACCAAAGAATTGTATCCATGTATTATGATTTATTCTGTGTTTTGTTATGCTATTATATTCATGATTTTCATTGCATTTTGCTGTTACCAAACAAGGCATCATGGAAGACCACACTACAATATCGTTGTGTCTGAACCATTTCACACAGCATTGTGTGGTTCACTCCTTTAAAATACACAGTAGTTGTGTTAAGTTGTGTACAAAAAAAAAATTACACTACTTTACATAACGAATTTGCAGTGTAAATTTTTTTGTTTTTTTAACACAACCCCTGGGTAAAAAATGAACCACCCAATGTTGTGTAAAGTCGTTACACGACGAATTTGCAGTGCACCAATATGTAAAATTGTGTTACCATGTATAAGTCAAAAATAATTAGAAAGATTATTTATTTTAATCAATTACTAAATTATACGATATTCAGCTCAACCTTTGAAGAAAATAGTTTTGTAGTTCATTTTGATATTTTTACAATATAATTATGTCACTGAGTATATAAAGACCTACATTTTCTCTTGTTATCTATGTTTTCTCTCATGGCGACTTAATTCCAAGTCCGCATTCCCCTTTGATAAATGATGATGACATACGAATTATATGTTTGATTTATTCTCTAACAGAATCCAAGGGTTGATCAGACCTCGGTGCAGGGCTTTAACTGCCAAGGCAAGGCAATGCAAGAGAAATGGAAGACGCTTCAACTTCGTCGCAGTGCATGAGCTCTGCCTACAACATTGTAAGTAGTCATTAATCTAAATGGTGGACAATCATCGATTTAATTACATTTTGTGTTTATGGTGGGATTTTTTTTTTTGGGGGGGGGGGGGGGTGACCGGTGACTGCATGCGCCAAATCAGTTTTCTTCAAATAACCTGGATGGTAACTCGGGGATATTATGACCAATTTTTGTTTCTTCTTCACCGTTTATCTTGATGTCTATCAACAACCTTTTATGTAAATAGATGCGACCAACTGCAAACGAGGGGCCGGGGGGGGGGGGCAAATTTTTTCAATTTATGATAACAAAATTAGGCCTAGATCTATAGCTACTATTCGTGGTTGCTTTGCTCGGAGTGTATAGCAACGGCAATTAATGTTGATTGGAAAATATGTAGTACGATCCCACCCCCGTTGCCGAAAATTCTCCCAACTAGCCGGGAGGCCGTTTACCAAGACACTTTTAAAGGTAATACAAAGTTTTGGTATGGGGTCATGAATTTGGTTCAAATGAACATATTGGAAGCATATACGATCCTACAATATTCAGTGATCGTTGTCGCGGTCGAAATCGACTCTTAAGTTATGAAATTGTAAATAATAAACATTTTATGTTGAATAACTCCCTCTCAAGGTCAAGATATCAATTAAGCTATAAAACAATGTTTATTGACTAGAATAGCCCGATTAGCTATTCTCTTTCGGAAATTATATACCACAACTACATAGATTTTCATGGTCGCAGCTACCATTATACGGCGGCCGTAGGAGCTATTTGAAATTTATCCAAATTTACCGGGAGCACCGGTAAATCTTTAATCCTTTATATTCAATTTTTCTCGAAAGCAGAAGTGTTTTAGGGGCTAAAATTTCCGGTGTTTTAATACATCCACAGGAGCATCCAAATATATCAAATTGTAAAGAAACACTATCCACCCATTTTTCAAAATTTCCAAAACTTTGTAATACCTTTAATAACGGGAATAATGGCACAGAAGACACCAAACTAGAAACTGCACATGCAGTTGACAGGGGGTGTCACAAAGCTAATACAAGCTCTATTTTGTTTTGGGATATGAGCATGCGCATAATTGCAGACCCAGCAACTGTGTCTGCTGTGCTTGCGAATTAATTGCGGTAAGTTACTGAAAATATAGTTCTTGGAAGATGAGATTATGATGTCTATGGTAATTTATTATGAATATTGTTGTAATAGTATGTATTAAAATGATAATATTAACAGTGATTGTCTCGATTGGTCTAAATATCACAGAGCGAATGAAATGATCTTCTCTTTAAGTTAAGTTAAGATAAGCCCCATACGTTCAATTTTTTGTTAGGCCTGTTCCCTAGCTAGTATATTACTTTTTAGCTCATTAAATTGATGATACATTTATGTAGGCCCCCTATAGATCTAGCCTTTTTATAGGTCTAGATCTATTTTGTATGAAACTGGAAAGCAGAGACTATACTTAAATGACTACATCCTCAGCTATTAATGATAATTAAAAAAGGTGTTGACTGTTCATTTTAGGAGCAAGCTGTGACCAAATTAGCTGCCATAGCTGTGTTGATTTTTTTTAAATCTGAAAATTCTGAACTCAATCAATGTAAGTAGTCCCTAGACCGAAAATTAAAGAGAGGAGCCGACCGTACCCAAACAAGAGGCTAACGAACGAGAGAGACTAAAATTTCTAGTCTAAATATAGTAGACAGAAATTATTGTCTGGTGGGGCCTGGGGATCGATCCGGAAGTGTGACTGTTCCCACATCTGTACACAAAGTGTAACCTTGCCACACTTTTTGCCAGAATCTGGTGACAAGTTTGCCTTATGTTTTTCTAGACTTAAATATAGTTTGATTTAGAAAAAAATAATGATTGGAAAGAAAGTAGATCTTATTTTCAAATACTGTTCTATAAAATTACATCCAAAATATTTGTAAAACATCAAAATATAAGGACCTAATTTCAGGTAACCTACAAGTATGTAATGCTCTTGAAGCTACTGCGCACGATGATATCGGCAATCACACAGAAACTGCATTGCGTAACCTCCCCTCACTAACCAGTACAATCAGACCTCAGTCTCTGTGTAGAGGCAGTCAGTGGAGCCTGACATAGTCTTTTTGGAACAATCATCGATATCAGAAACTAATTAAAGCTTACGGAAATACGATGGGAAAATCCATGTATATCCACCCTGATATAGAAATAAAAGGAGAATTGAGAAAGTGACAAGTGAAATTGAAAATTTTGAGGAACAACTGATAAGATATTGATTAAGAAAATTATAAATATTTACATTTACATTTTGCAAAATTTTATGGAAAATTTTGGTTTTATTCAATATCCTTCCTTGCATGTGCATGATTTCTAGCGGTACAATGCTCTTTGACTCTTGTTATAGTATGGAACACAACATCATTGACTCAGAGAACAATGTAATAATAATTACAATAAACACCTTGAAACTTTATTTGTTATCTAATCAAATGCTAGCTACTTTGTATATACTTTGTGTATATGATCAGTCCATTTTATATTTTCCCATTTTCATACTTTCTGTATAATGTCTAAATTAAATGTTTTGTTTTTTTCAATTAAAATTTATTGAATTGAATTGAACTTTTCCTTTGCATTATGATAATTATGTTATATTGCGAATCTTACAGTATATAGTTAAGCGCTTTTTCAAAATTTCAAATGGGGGGGGGGGGGGGCACCTGGGGCAACATACAATTTTGGGGTTAATGCCCAGATGCCTTAGCTATATATGCTACTGATTGCACACTAACTTTTCATAAAATATGTTTGATATAGATTCAAATATGTGTTACTTACAGCTCTTTTTATTTATACAGATCGAATGCAACAGGCTGCCATATGATCCAGTGGTCACGTGAGTAAATCTCTCCATCATGCTTCAGCTAAAACAATCAGCTTCTCATTTTAAGGGATAATAATCTGAAGATGATTGAATTTAATTTATTAATAGCTTCAGGATCATGAGAGAAGACTGATTTGTGGTAGAAGTGAGAAAAAATTATGAGCTCTCTCATTCTTTGAATTCCAATGTGGAACAATTTCTCTTAAAATAGCCCAATATCCTTGATTTTACAAGGCTTTATTAACAACTGTTAACTCGAAATCATTGTAATGCAGCTTTTAGACAGGGTCTGGGATTTGGTTAATGTAGATATTGAGAGAATGTGAGTGTTTTGGGCCAAAGCTTGTAATATAGAAAGGTTGTGATTCATGAAATTTGATCTAATACTTACATAATCTAGCTACTGGTATAACTATACTATGACTTTTTTCTGTTTACATAGTCAACACAAATGTATGTCAAAATTTCACTTGTTTCAAAGTATTGAATTGAAATTTGATTCCAATTATATATTATCTTTCACAGCGTCTGATTCGTGAGCTTGTCTTTCCTCTCGCCATCTCCAGTCTTTTTCTTCGCCACAACACCTTTATCTACAGACATCTTCGCCATCTACACAGACATCTTCGCCATCTACATAGACATCTACATATCCAGTCATCATAGTCGCCATCACCAACATCACCATCAACATAGAACTACTTCATCTCAGCATTCATCATTATTATGTAAGCTTACGTTTCATTCTATTCGATAATGTTGTTTATCCATGGTGTTTCCCACAGATATTTTTTTTGTTCTTTTAGCATGCATTATGACCTCTTGGCCGTAGCCTCCGGACCGTGCTCTAGCCTCCTCATATTCACTGTTATGATTTTTTTTTGTATAACTTGGCATGGGTCAAGTATCTTTTTAGGGGCCAGTATTCCATATACATGCATATATATATGCATCTCTGATATAAACTGCATGATGCATGTTTATGTATCTCTTTTTTTTATTAGAGAGAGAACTTTTTCATACTTAGCAAAGTGTACATTTTGTAAAAAAAAAAAAAGAAGATATTTTCCAATATCCAATAGTTCACTTTTTGCTTGTTATACTTCCTTCAATAATCATAATATACACTAACACAATATTTTTCTCGCAATGTTAACTGTTCCCATCATTTGTTAAACAGTATATACATGTATGTATATATCATTATTTCACATGCTTTTTGTGATGGCTGAATGAGTATTTATTGAAATGTTGTCTTTAAAAAAAAAAAAAATATGTGCAAGACCTCATTTCAATTAAACGTCATTATGGAATACTGGCCCTATCTGTGGGAAATACCATGGATAACCTTTCGCTGATTTATTATTTTTATATATTGTGGGATATTAACAGAAAATACAAAAAAAAATCAAAATAAAAGAACTGTAAAAAAAATGGGAGCTTACAGTGATGGGATATAGCATGGACATGTCTACTGCTGGGTTTTGTTTTACTTTTTTTGTTTTACTTTAACTGACTCACACATTGTAATGGCAACTTAATTTGTATATCCCATGATTTGTTTAACTTTAATCATTAGAAACATATCGTTTTACACTTTTTTTTTGTGAAATGAATATGGGCAAAGTGACTACCGGTATACTTTTGACATATAGGTAGCCATTATTTGGCTCCTCAATGGGCCCTTTTTCTTTTCGTTATAATGAATACATACATACATACATACATATTGGTATTTATATAGCGCCTTTACAAGAACATGATTCTTATATTCCTCCCATAACCTCTCCTTAACCTCTCCTTTACACCTTTTTTTTGTGAAATGAATATGGGCAAAGTGACTACCAGTATACTTTTGACATATAGCTAGCCATTATTTGGCTACTCAATGGGCCCTTTTTCTTTTCGTTATAATGAATACATACATACATACATACATACATACATACATATTGGTGTTTATATAGCGCCTTTACAAGAACATGATTCTTATATTCCTCCCATAACCTCTCCTTAACCACACTCTCCTGCTCCTCCCATACCAGACCCCCCCCTTCATCCCTTCCAATCGTATGGTACACCTCCTCGTTCCCTCTCTCACCCCTATCCTATCTAGAGACCAAGGGGTCACACATGTCTTTGCTGGTAGAAGGATTGCATAAACCCATCTTTTCCTCATGTTTCTGCTCCTCCAAGGTTGTCTCTTCCATCGTGTGATCCATGTGAAGATGATGCAGAAAGAAGTCTGTGTTTGAAGTCATCAACTACTCTTCTGGGTCCTACCTGACACCTGAACTGTGATGATTCACGCAACAGGTTGGCACTGGGTAGATGATAAGCAGGTTCTTAGAGTCAACGGGTAAGGAAGTCATACTTTTATGTAGCATTAATGCCTGCAAATGCAATGACATTTTTCTCTATCAGTGGTACAAAAAATGAAAATTATTTGGGATTTATATATTACACATTGGACACAATTGGAAGAGAGTTAAAACATGAAGGTTTAATGGGATCACATTTTCTCTATCAATTGAACAAAATTATAAGAAATATTTAGAATATATAGATTACACATTGGACACAGTTTAGCAGGATTAGTAAAACATGATGGGTAAAATGGGAGGGGGTTGAAGTTCTTACCTATTTTCCAGACTATAGTTATAATGACAAAGGTCAGATCATATCATTTCATGTCATGTCATTCCTACATTTCATTTCTACATTTCATTCCTACATTTCTTGATATAATTTTAATTCAACATTCTACATTCTAACAATGCAATTTGTATATACATGTAGGCAGAAACTAAACCTAAGAAAAACGCAAAACGGGATAAAATGATAATAAAGTCCATGATCAAAATAAATATCTCAAACAAGGGCAGATTGATCCAAATTCCCTACTGGTTCCTCCATTCCACAGAGGATTTTTAATTGGTTTCAGAGTGTCTTAGTCACTATGTGGAAGGAATCCAAATTAAAGAGGGCATTAATACATGTGTACCCTTGATTCAAAATGCAGAGAGTCACGGACAAATTAAGTCATGATCAAATTCATGAGAAAGGCTCTTTCGTGCACTGGCCCTCCGTTTTACCTCCCATCCCTGGGGCGTTGGTAACTGTGGCCCAGACCGACATGAAAGCAATTGCTTTATGCAGTCTGGTTTGCACAAAGATGCAGCATTTTCATATTCAGCTATCCTCCAAGTTTTGCCACACCTCCTTTATAAGATGTAACATATACATGTAGAACATCTTAGAAGAGTTCACCATCATTTTTTTTACTCTTGGTGAAAGAGGGATGATGAATTTGACTGTAATGATATATAAACCTTTATCAAGAATTATCATTATTATTGGTACCAGTTGTCATGGTAATCTTGGCTACCTCATCAGTTCAGGGCAATTCATGCTTGAGTATTTGATATGCCAAGCGATGATGGAGTATATCAGAATCATATCAGAAGTATGGCTGTCAATTAGTTGCACCTTGTAAATAATGTCTGACGTCATGTCTGAACTTTCAGTTTACCCTGAGCTGGTATAATAATACTACAGCATTTGTTATGCGCCATCAATCTAGTTAACTATTCTAAGGCACAGAGGGAGATTATTACCCTGGCTTTAGCACGGCTGCCATTACGGCGCTCTAGCATTTCAAGGAATTAATTCCTGCCAGCTACCCATTTACATCGTGTGGGCTGAGTGTGGCAAATGTAGATCAATGTCTTGCCAAAGGACATTTTTGTACATGATGTTTAGTGGTCATTGATACCAACAATCTGCAATACATGTATGCTAGGAGACCAGTCTGAAACCACTGCCTTTTCTATTGCAATGATTTATGCCAACAGAAATGGCATTTGATAACAATAATAATAATAATTACATTGCTTATATAGCGCCTAACACTTACTTTGTCAGAAGTCTCTAAGCGCTCTACAATAATGCAGCATACTTACCCTGGCTTTAGCAGTGCAGCTGTTACGCACGCTGCATTTCAAGGAATAAATTCCTACCAGGTACCCATTTACTTCACCTGGGTGGAGTGTGGCAAATGTAGATCAATGTCTTGCCAAAGGACATTAGTGCAGATAGAACTCTTTTTCTTCCTCTATCAAAAGCATCCACATTGCAACTTTTTAAATTTTAATTTCAATTTGTACATAATGCTTGACTGAAATATATATGCTATTCTGACAATAGCTTCAAAATAGGATGGGTCATATATGCTTGATATGTTCCCCCAAGGAGGCGAGTTGGCTCAGTTGGTAAAGTGTCTGCTTGTCAAACCAAAGATCTTGGGTTCGAATCCAACCCAGGCAGATGACTGAAGCCTGCGTTGTGTGTTTATGTGCCCCTCCCATTGTTGCTGTGTTAAGTGGAAAACACTCTGTCCCTCAGATAGGACGTTAAATGGAGCCCCTGTGTAGAGGAGAATCACCACCTTTGCACGTTAAGAACCCACTGCACTGTTCGTATAAGAGTAGATGAAAACCCCGGTGTAGTGATCCACCTGCACACCCCCAATCAGTTATACTGGGAGGAGAGATCCGAGGGTTACAGTGATTCAGTTCGCTTTTCGCCTCCTAGGCACAGGTGACGCAAAATACTTACCGGTAATAATAATAATAATAATAAATGGGAGCTATTAGAAGCACAGTAATTCCCTCTCATAATATTTTAATCACATCAATGTGACTGACTCTCCTGCCACATCATTCCAACTTCATTGTGATGAATATTATGTATGATGCGTATATCGACAGGCATTGACATCTAGGTCAGCATTTTTACAGCTCCTACTGTAATTTTGCAAAAGCAAAACTTTCTTGTCTTTGTCTAGTCTCTGAAGTAAAACAGGAGTTTTAGAAGACAGTGCAATTATACATTGTCTGAGAGATTAGTTGACCTCTGATTCACATTGACATACTGGACATGTATGTATACTCCCATGTTCTTGACTGACAGCTATTTCACTCAGGAATATTCTCAGGTTTTTTTCTCATTCAGACTTTGCTGATATTTGTTGGGAAATTCCTTGATTTTGTCTGGAAGGACAAGACATGTCCTAATTTCTTCTGGTTAGTTTTAAGGATAAATTATTTTAATTCTTAACATATTTTTATGAATACCGGTAATGATATTTAGGACCAGCGTACCCTTTCATCTGTATGACTAGACTGTATGGCAGGGCAGAATCCCCAATTGAGATTAAGGTTTACTTTGCTGATTATGATAATCAGACCATAAACATGATCTTAATATGTTGATTAAGAGCTAGGTCCCATATATCGTTTCAGGAAAAAGTTTCTTTCTGGAATTTGAGAGGTGATGATTATGAGCACCTTTCTGAGGTTTCTTGCTTCATCAGTTTGGATGAGGTTGCCTGTTCAAAGCAAACATGGCCGCATGCATGCCAGAAACACCTTCCTGCAAAGATACATAGATTAAGTGTTTTACTCCAATCAAGTTTGACTCGCAAAAAAGAATAAGGAATGGTCATTGACATTACAGTACTCCCAAATTTGGCTGTACAGCATGCAACTGGCATGAGGTAATTTCACCCATGCCAAGTAGTAGCCAGCTATATGTGGACTACACCAAATGTAATGTTTTGATAACCCCTCACCAGTGTGCACATAATTTAGTTTAGTGGTGGTTATTTTACCTGACTGCTAAGAAAGCATAAATGCTTGTTAGTAAGCAACCAGAGGACCAACGGCTTTAGGTCCACTCCGAGGGACCTGGTAATGAGGGTTAATGCCTCACCAATACCAGAGGGCATTTTAGCGCATCGACTTGATTTTGAACCCGGCTGGGTCACCGTATTACGAGACCATGCACTGCTCAGCCTAACAGAGCTATCGTGCCTTCTCATAAACCGCAATGATAATAACTATAAGATGGAATATTTTAATAGCACTAGCTCTTTAACATACATGGAGCTCCTTTCTGTCATGCATACCAAACACTCCCAAGGGAGCAGAGATGGTGCATACATTGTGTGGTGCACAATAATAGTGATTGTGTTGTGCTATTATATCTACAGAAAGTGCTATATATAATTGATATATGTAGTTTTTTTTAATCAACAAAAATTTGAAACTTAATTGGAACAATAGTCACTAGAGTTTGAAATGGATCAATGTGCCCTTCTTGGCGGTATTGATTTAGAAGATCATGTTTGTCTTCTTCTTTTTTTGGGGGGGGGGGGGGGGCTGGGTGGGGTCTGATTTCTGCTTATAATATATTTTCATTTCCATCCACCCTTTCATCTTTTCTTTCTTATATATGCTAATCTTTTTCTTCAAATAGTAGATATTCCCAACCATACAAGTACTAAAAAACATACAGTAGTGATACATTTTCTCAGACATAGCATTAAAGTAATTTGTATATCCAAATACAATTCTCCCAAGGTTTTAGTGATCAGACTTGTCAAACATGTGATGGGTTTGTGTTATGGAAGGGGGTAACAAGGGGGTAACGGGGGGGGGGGGGGGGGGGGGGGGGTAACAGGGGCGTAGGGGGATTGGGGTAACATGGGGGTAACAGGGGCGTTGGGGGTAACAGGGGCGTTGGGGGTAACATGGGGATTGGTTGTAACATAGGAGTAACATGGGGGTAACAGGGGGATTGAGGGCTAGGAATATTGGGGGAACATGGATTACACAGGGGTATTGGGGGTAACATATGGTTTTGGGGGGTAAAAACGGTATTGGGGGTAACATGGGGTGTTGGGGGTAACACTGGGTAACAGGAGGTTTTGGGTGTTTCACGGGGGTATGGAAACATTTTGGTTATTTTAGGGAAAGAGAAAATGGTGCATTGATGGCAATTAAATGCTAATGAAAGATGACTGTCCATCCTAGTTGGCTCTTTGAAACCTGCATCATCTATTCAGTGTCTAACTTGTTGTTTGAGTCTGATCAGTTTAGATGTCAAGTAGGATTCAGGAGAGATGTTGATGGATTCAAGCAGAGACTTCTGACTGCATCATTGGATCATGGATCACTCTTATGGGAGAGGCAATCCTAGGGGACAGAACATGACGAACAGATGGGTGAGTGCAATCTAACTACCAGTATGAGAGATGTATGTCATCTTAGCCTCTTGATAGGAAGCCCATCTTTCCAACTTCATCATTTGTAATACACCCCTCCCTCAAGAAGAATAGCCATTTTTCAATCTCTATTTGAAATTTAAAAAAACTATTTATAAACAACAGCAAAAGAGCCTCTTCCTCCTCCGAGGCCTTCCTCCGGAGCCTCTTCCTCCTCCGAGGCCTTCCTGCGGAGCCTCTTCCTCCTCCGAGTTCCAGAGCCTCTTCCTCCTCCGAGGCCTTCCTCCAGAGCCTCTTCCTCCTCCGAGGCCATGCTCCAGAGCCTCTTCCTCCTCCGAGGCCTTCCTCCGGAGCCATCTCCTCCTCGGAGGACTTCCTCCTGAGCCTCCTCTTCCTCCGGAGCCTCTTCCTCCTCCGAGGCCTTCCTCCTGAGCCTCTTCCTCCTCCGAGGCCTTCCTCCGGAGCCTCTTCCTCCTCCGAGGCCTTCCTCCGGAGCCTCTTCCTCCTCCGAGGCCTTCCTCCAGAGCCTCTTCCTCCTCCGAGGCCTTCCTCCGGAGCCTCTTCCTCCTCCGAGGCCTTCCTCCGGAGCCTCTTCCTCCTCCGAGTTCCAGAGCCTCTTCCTTCTCCGAGGCCTTCCTCCTGAGCCTCTTCCTCCTCCGAGGCCTTCCTCCTGAGCCTCTTCCTCCTCCGAGGCCTTCCTCCGGAGCCTCTTCCTCCTCCGAGGCCTTCCTCCGGAGCCTCTTCCTCCTCCGAGGCCTTCCTCCAGAGCCTCTTCCTCCTCCGAGGCCTTCCTCCAGAGCCTCTTCCTCCTCCGAGGCCTTCCTCCAGAGCCTCTTCCTCCTCCGAGGCCATGCTCCGGAGCCTCTTCCTCCGGAGCCTCTTCCTTCTCCGAGGCCTTCCTCCAGAGCCTCTTCCTCCTCCGAGGCCTTCCTCCAGAGCCTCTTCCTCCTCCGAGGCCTTCCTCCAGAGCCTCTTCCTCCTCCGAGGCCATGCTCCGGAGCCTCTTCCTCCTCCGAGGCCTTCCTCCGGAGCCTCCTCCTCCTCCTCGGACTTCCTCCGGAGCCTCCTCCTCCTCCGAGGCCTTCCTCCGGAGCCTCTTCCTCCTCCGAGGCCTTCCTCCGGAGCCTCTTCCTCCTCCGAGGCCTTCCTCCGGATCCTCCTCCTCCTCCTCCGAGGCCTTCCTCCGGAGCCAGCCTCCTCCTCCTCCGAGGCCTTCCTCCGGAGCCTCTTCCTTCTCCGAGGCCTTCCTCCGGAGCCTCTTCCTCCTCCGAGGCCTTCCTCCGGAGCCTCCTCCTCCTCCGAGGCCTTCCTCCAGAGCCTCCTCCTCCTCCGAGGCCTTCCTCCAGAGCCTCTTACTTCAGAGCCTCCTCCTCCGAGGCCTTCCTCTGGAGCCTCCTCCTCCTCCAAGGCCTTCCTCCGGAGACTCCTCCTCCTCCTCCGAGGCCTTCCTCCAGAGCCTCCTCCTCCTCCTCCAAGCCCTTTCAACTATGCCATCGCCCCCCCTATATTTCTTGTCATTGCCAATTCCCATACATTGCCATGGCAGCAAAGATTACTGATGCAATGTTTTGTTTTTCATCCACCTTCCGTGATAAAAGTTTTTACGAAAAGTTTAATGTTTCCTTCTTGCCCATGTTTACAATTGGAGTTTTCCAAATAGACTGATTGCAAAGAGCATAAGCTTGGTTGTGAATCAAGCATAGTCCAGTCCTAAAACCTAAAGTCCTAAAGAGTTTTCTCTCTCCTCACTCAACTTTTGTGAATCCTTGTAATGTCATTATGTTACTCCTTCCTCAATCTCTTCATTCGTTGTTA